GTCTACCGCAATCTCCCCCAGCTGGGCTGGGGCTCTGCAGTCCCCGCTGGCACCGCAGGACAGGACCGGATTACAGCCATAAGGGCTGGTTAGCCTGACAGCCCCCCGAGTGCACCAGCTGGGTCAGGCCTGGGGCTGGTGAAAACAGGCCTGGCTGCCTGGCTCAGGCAAAAAGGACATTTTGTTGACAAGAAGTCATTTTTTGGCAAAAAAGGAAAAGCTGATAAAAATATTCTCAAAAATTCAGCTGGGAGAGGCACACGTGCCAGAACAGAGAAGGAACTGGGGCCAAGTAGTTTAAAGAGCCTGATGATGCTCCCGCACCCCTTCGGAGCAGAAACAAGGTGGGCTGGCCGGGCAGGATGAGCCGCAGGCCCCGCAGAGCTGAGCCACAGCCGCCCCTGTCCCTTTCTCTTCAGGAAAGCGCACAGTGGCACGGGAGTCTCGCTCCAGGCTTCCTCCTCGCTGCGCAAAGGCAGTGCACACACAGAGCTGGGATAAAGCTTGTCTTCTGCCGACTGTCAGGCCCGGGAGCTCCCCGGACGACATTCCCAGGGACACAGCGCAGAGGAATTCCTTAGGGGTCACCCAAGCGGCCCTCGTCCCAGAAAATGCCTGCCTGCAGCTCCCAGCGGCACAGAGCGGGGAGATGAAGGAGCGCCGTCCCTCTCCCTTCGGTCCCAACATCTGCCTGCGCTTCAGGCGGCAATCATGCCACACGCAGGATCTGCGTTTGGGGCCAGGAACTCAGTGTGCCCGTGAACACCCTTGCAGAGAGAGGGTCATGGCACTGTGAGGTACACGCTGACAGACAGTGACGACACAGGGAACAGCTAGAAATAGGAACCTCCCTCTCAGAGTACTGTTTATGTAGGGTCTTGGTAAAAAGTATGTTCATTCCCTGCCTCACAAAGGAACCCAACCTCCAGCCTCAGGCAGATGTGTGGCAATCAGGAGGCACAGAGCTTTGTCCCTTCTCCGCACTGGGCTGGTCCAGCCCCACAGCCAGCGGAGCACGCATGGGGGAAGACCTGTGCCTTGCGCGGTACTCACAATGCTCCTCATCATCTTGTCCCCGCCGCTGAAGGTCACCGCTAGCATGGAGGCACATTCCGCTAGCATGGAGGCCCATTCCTCGGCATGGAACGGCATGGAGCCCGTCTCGTCCACCGCACCTGGGAAAATGTGAACCGTATGAAGCTTGTTTTTTTTTTTAACTGCTGGCATTGCAAGGTGATGAGCCTTCGAGAACCCGTCCTGCTAGCTGTGCTTTTCCACAGGCTGGGAGCTGGGCAGGGAAACCAGAACCAAGCCTGTATTTTTCACAGCTGGAAGATCTACAGGAAAGGCAGCCATAAGAAATAACCTTCCACTGTGCTTAGTATTACACAGGTCTTCCACCCCTCGTGTAGCTTCTGCTCTCAAGAAAGTGGATCAGATGTTTCTTTTCTAACACGCATGATGGGAATGCTGCATTTCAGGTTGCTCCCGCAACATGGCAGCGCATCTGTCACAGCCCCAGTGATGGAGGCCTGAACGCAGGCAGGGATTTCTTTGGCCTCCTCTTGCTCTGTAGGTCAAAAGAAGACCGCAGGCTTGAGGGCTGAAGCCCAGCATGCTTCTACACGCTGCCACGTTCACTCCCAGAGGGCAGGCACCCTCCCACAGACTCCCACTATCCAGCCAGCTTCCAGCTGGGCAGGCTTCGCGCTTTTGGGATGATCTCATTTTTCCACGCTGGGAAGGAACGAGACAGAAGATGCACGCACTCACCTATCGTGACAGTGTAGATGGAGTTGGCGTAACCATCATAGTTGCAGTTGTCGCTGTGTTGCCCGCCGTTGCCACTGGCCACGACGAAAATGCTGCCGAAGCCCCTGCGACCCGCTATCACGCCGTGCTGCAGGGCGGCCTGCGGAGAAGGAACCATCGCTGGTCAGGGCACGTAGGCAGGCGGGCCCTTCTCGCGCCCTTCCCCGCTGACCCCAGAGGGTTTCTGCCATCAGCCATGGCTGGCTGCAAGCCGCGGGGGAGCAGGGCTCTCCCGGACCTCGCAGGGCACCTTGCTGCTAACCCAGGCACAGACGGACGCACGCGCCTCTCCCGAGCTGGGGAAGCGTTTGCCCTGTAGGCTGCTCGCAGGCACGGGACGTGCTGGAAAGCTGCGTCCCGGCATCCCGCTGCAGCAACCAAAGTCCACGCTCTGAGATTTCAGCGTTCAGCCCTGCCAAGCGTTCTGGGTGATAGCGGGGCCAGGCACCACCCCTCCGGGCCATATTTCACCCGGCGAGCAGAGGCAGGGAGTTGTGTCCGTCACAGCTCCGAACAGACACCGAGATTCCAGAGCAAAGGCAGCGATGCGGCCAACGTCTGGGAACGGCCAATCTACAGGTCACTATGATTTTAAGCTGCTTCTGCGTTAAAAGTGAAAAAAGGGAAAGCAACCTTCCAGGCAGCCACAGCACAAAGACTGGCCAGCCTTTGAACTCCAGAGGAAAGAGCAGGCCCAGCCCTCCCAGCTTCAGCAGGGCTCACTCTGGAGCCGGCTTTTGGCAGCATCGAGGCTTTCCTGCCGACAGAGACGACCCACACGTGGTCGCTGCCCTTCTGCAAGGCCCCAGCCCCGACATACACCTGGGCTTTGCCTTCGCTGAGAAACACAACGACACCAGCCCCGCTCGGGAAGCGTGTTTCCAGGCCGACACCTTGCACAGACACCATTCCTGCCTAGAGAAAGCATATGTGTCCGATGGACAAGCAAGAAAGCAATCCTGCTGGAAATCAACCCTCCTCCTCTGCCCTCCCTTCAGCAGGTGAAGGCACATACTGCATCGGTCAGATGCTCTGCTGTGGTAAAGCAAGCTTTGCTCGTGCTCTGCGTCCCAGACCTTGTTACAGCTGTCTCTGCATGCAGGAAGAGAATAAATTAACTTGCAGAACTGGAAACCATTTGTCATCGTGAACTGATAGCTCAGTTGTCAGCGTTGCTCCGAACAGCACAGTAACTGCTATCTTGCGGTTAGGCAAGCACAGCAAAAGGCTGCCAAGCAGAAGAGAAATTAAGCAGAACCACACCGCAGGAGCAAGGCAGCGCCAGTTCTGGGGCCCCCTCAGCGCCCCCTCGCTGCAGTGCCTGGGTCGTGGGAGCCGGGCACTGGCAGGGCTGGGTGCGTTTTGCAGCGGTTCTGCAGCACGGGCACCGCAAAAATGCTTTAATGGCCCGGGAAGGAGCAGCCTCAGCTCTGACTCTTCCTCCTGCTGCAGTCCCACTGACAGCGAATGCAGCCATCACCCCAGCCCCTTACTTACTCCTAGCATTCGAAGGCACGCTCCCTGCCTTGAGAACCACCCTTAGCACTGGGAACGCTCAGTCTCCTGAGCAGGGAGCATCCCTCGGGTTGCAGAAGTTGTCAGAATGATACCACAGGTTGCGAAAGAGCATTTTCCTGCTGGAACCAGCCTCTCCTTGGAAAGCTCATCTCATATTGCCTGAACGCTGCCCTCCCGCAGCAACGTCACCTCTCCCCACCGCATGGGAACATGCAACACCTCCGCTCGCAGCGATGGAAGCAAACAAGCGTGCGCTGTGCCACGGCAACGTCCCTCCTCGCCTGTCCAGGCAGGCAAGAAACCACAAGCACCGGAGGGCCAGCCCAGGGGTGACCCGTGCTGCTGGGACTGTTTTTCACCTTTCCCAGTTGATGGGGGCCATCCACGGTTTTCCCATCGTCATCTGGACCCCAGCTGCAAAGAGAGACACCATGAAGTGACAGCCCCAGGAGTCGCAGACAGCAACTCTTCCTCCCATTACAGTCTGCCACTACAGCGAGCTACAAGCAGCCACCAGCTTCTCCCAGCACCACGGCTGGGATCGGAGGGCACCGCACTTCCCCATCCGTCGGGCTGGTCCCTCGCTGCTGGGATATCGCTGCCGTGTTTGCACTGTGCCCCTGGGTCAGATTCCAGTGGACAAAACGTTTGATTTTTATTTAACAACCAGCTTCTTGCACATTCCAGTCCCCGTCACACGGCTCAGCCGGGGCTCCCTGACCACAGCGGGGGGCACAGTGTCCCCTCCAGCTCAGCCCGCCCGTGGGACGGGCTGCGGCAGCGCACAGAAGGCGGCCTAGCAACCATAGGTGCCGTGCACAGCCTGGGCCAGCTCTCCAGTAACAGGAATACCGATGCTATTCTTAACAGCAGTAACAGAGAGCACCACATTACGTGCCCGGCTGCAGACCCCCTCGAGGTTCAGTTGCACAGAGCCCCTTAGATAGCCCGACCGCAGGGCACAGGCGGGGGCACCCAGCCTGTCCCCAGGCAGAGCGGGGGCCGCAGCCCTTGGCTGGGTGTCAGCACGGCCCGGCTCAGGTCCCCCTCGGGGCTCACCTGCAGCTGTAGATGTCGTTGATCTGATAGTGCTTGTTGAAGGCGATGGCCTCCATGCTGTCAGTGAGGGGCCCGTCCAGCACTCGGATGCCTGCAGGACAAAGGACAGCCAACATGACCAAAGTGGATCAAAGTAAGCTGTACAAACAGTGCAAACAAATTCCTTGGCAGGTTCACACTGGGGACACTCACTCTCCCAGCCTGATGGGACCAGATCTCCCGGAGCTGTAAGCCTGCAGATGGGTCCGCAGGGACTAGAGGTGCCTCAGGGATCACGCACAGCTCC